TTTGGCACAACAGTTGAAAACAGGTAATCCAAGTATCCAAAATATCCAAGTATAGAGACAGTGACCCCGTTACCTGACTCGTCCTATTTGACAAATGCGTGACCAGATTCTGGGGTCTCTAATATGTATTGTTTTATTCCATTAAAACACCATATGTTCTAGAGTTTACAAGCGATGGGATGTAAACGCAAGACGGATGAGACAGTTTGCTTGGAAGTGATTGGGCTGCTCAAACGATGTCTAACTCAGTGGACTCCCACTAAGTGTGGTTCCGTTTACACCTTTTATTGAGAACGTAAATTATTACTACCACTATAGGACGGCCGTCTATCTTGGTTTTGCTGAAGAGGGTAAAAGAAACTCTCCGATGGCTGGACAGTGCTTAGATTTCCTGGTTTCTCATGCAGCTACAGGTCAGCTTTTTTTATTTTTATAATCCTGTTTTATTTGAGAAAGAGGAAATTCACAAGATTCTTTGCGATTCTGTTTTCTTCATGTTCTTATGAATGAATAGAGCTGGTCTCTAATATGTATTGCTTTATTCCATTAATACACCAGAAAAACATCTTTTCCATATTCTGCTGAGATTTCGGTGTCATAGCAAACAGATGAGTTTTTTTCAAACAACGAGGAAGCATACGAAAAATCGTCGTGGTCAGTGTATGTCAGATTTTTGAACACCACTGATTAACAATAAAGAGGACATGGGGAATGTAATGAAATTACTGAAAGGTGGTAAAAAAACCTAATCTGTGGAATCATAACGAGTTATCCAATGGTTCCATTGGACCTCACATAACTTTATTAGTCAAAGTTGTGTGGAACAGCAACCATTCATAGTCAGTTGTGTGGTGCGTATTCATACATCATCCCAGCTGTACATTTCAAATAGTTTTCTGGCGTTCGTTGGATACCATGTAGTTCCTCAAGCTGAAAAACTACTTACGTTCAGGAAATTCATGATTAAATTTGTTGATAGCGTTTATGAATGTGCCGTTTTCTTGTTCAGCAATCGAGAGGTTTTTAAACAGCATACATTTACATGCGACTATAATCAGCTGTTCTAAACTTCCTCATTGGAAGTCACGAAAAAGCGGCTCTGAAGAAGGCGATACTGCCGAAACGTCAGCTAGCGTTGTATTGTATTGTGCTTCTCTATGGAAGTAAATGTGTGCTGTTTAAAAACCTCGCGATTGCTGAACAAGAAAACGACACATTCATATTCCAATCCCTAGGTTAATAGAAAGTCGATCCTGGGAACTATTACAAGATAGCGTTTATCTCCTACATTACGATCAGTGGGAAGTACTCTAATAGAAAGAGTTCTTTTGTTTTTCGAATAATGTGGGTACCTGTGTTATTAGTCATAAAAATGAGCCTGAACGATGACATATTTGGTAATGTGCGCCACTGTCTTCATTCCGTGCATAAGGATGGATTTTACAAAGGTACTTCCAGCTCCTGAGTGGAAAGCGGAAGCAATGTGCATGACGGCCGGTGGTGTGGTAACATTGGTGGAGCCTCTACCGCATCTGATCCAGGTAAGAGATTTCTAAATACAGCGAACATGGATGGCCCTTATTTACAATCGTGGGGGCCTATTCTTTCTTCTTCCGCGCCCTCGTCCATGAGGTGAGCAGCAAATATGCCCATGTATTTGTCGGAGAATGCCACAGTACTCGTTTTGGTTTGTTAACGCCTTCTATTTCTGCCTATTAATCGTCAGATTCTCTCACTACACGACCATTCCTGTTTCTTGATCTTATTCGTGAAGAGAGAACCATCCCTTGATATTGGACACGTGAGCTTTCTAAATGGTCCTTACTGTGGAGTCTGAAGACCGCATTGTGAGTGTTGTGTGAAATTATTTTTGCAGTAATTCCCATGACCGACTTTCTGTTAACCTCGGCATTAATTGATAATTCAATGTTTTTCATCAATAAGCAGACACGA